ATCCTCCATCTTTATTGAATTTATTAGTTCTAACAGTTTTGGGTAAAGTCTTGAGGGTTGTCTATTTATAGTATTATGCCACCTACCAATAGAGACAATTTTACTTATTTCTTTCTGATTTGAGTGACTTTTATTTCTTGCCTGATATTTCTTGATAGTGCTTACAGTACTATCTTGGATAAAAGTGATGAGAATGGACAATGTTGTATTATTTCTGATGCTAGAGAAAAAGCTTTCAGCTTTCCACCATTAAATGTAATATAATCTGTGGGCTTGTCATTGATGGTCATTTTAATGTTGAGGCTTTCCTGGTGGCTCATATGGTAAAGAATTCACCTGCAAAGCAGGAGACCCGGATTTATCCCTGGGCTGGGGAGATCCCCTGGAGGAGGGAATGGCAACCCACTCCAGTATTATTGTCTGGAGAATCCTGTGGACAGACGAGTTTGGTGGACAGTCTGTGGGGTCATGAAGAGTCAGACATGACTGAGTAAGCATGCAGGCTTGCATTTGTTTCCTCTGTACCCACTTTGTTGAGAATTTTTATCATTAATGAATGTTGAATTTTTTCACATGCTTTTTCTACATCTATTGAGATAATAATAATATTTTTATCCTTTATTTTGTTAATATGGTGTATCACATTGATCCTTGCATCTTTGGAATAAACCCCATTTGATTAAGGTGTTTTATCCTTTTAATATACTAATGAATTTAGTTTGCTAATATTTTGTTGAGGATTTTTTGCATCTATGTTTACTGGGGATATTGGCCTGCTATTTTATTTTCTTATAATGTCATTGTCTGGTTTTGGTATCAGGATAAAGGTGGCCTAGTAAAATGAGTATGAATGTTTCCCTCCTCTTCCATTTTTTTGAAAGAATTTGAGAAGGATCAGGTAATTCTTCTTTAAATGTTTGGTAGAGTTTGCCATTGAAGCCATCTGGTTTTGTACTTCTGTGCACTGGAGATTTTGTTTTTGGTTTTACTAGTAATTTGACTATTAAGATTTTCTATTTCTTAATGATTCTGGCTTGGTAGGTTTATCTATCCCCTCTAGGTTTCCTAATTTGTGTATAATTGTTCATAGTAGTCTCTTATCCTATGTGTGGTATCATTTGTAATGTCTCTTCTTTCATTTCTAATTTGAGTCTTTTTTTTGTTCCCCCTTCGTTTAGTTAACAATTTGTCTATTTAACCTTTCGAAAAACAGTCTTTAGTTTTATTGGTCTTTTCTGTTGTCTTCTTAGTCACTATGTCATTCATTTCCACTCTGATCTTCTAACTTTGGCCTTTATTTGTTCTTTTTTTCTGGTGCCTTGTGGTATAAATTTAGGTTGTTTATTTAAGGTCTTTATTTTTTCTTAATGTAGGTATTTATTGCTATACATTTTCCTCTTAGAACTGCTCTTACTACTTCCAACAGGTTTTTGTATTTGTGTTCCCACTTTCATTTTTCTCAAGATTTTTTTTTTTATTCTTTGATCCATTGGTTGTTCAGGAGCCTGCTGTTTAATCTCCATGCATTGGTGAATTTTCCAGTTTTCTTTTGGTAATTGATTGCTAGGTTCATACCATTGTGGTCAGAAAAGATGTGTGATGTGATTTTAGTCTTCTTCAATTTATGAAGGTTTGTTTAGTGGCCTAATATATGCTCTATCCTGGAGAATGATCCATGTGTGTTTGAGAAATGTATTCTGCTGCTGAATGGGATGTTCTATAAATAAATATCTGTTATGTCCATCTAGTCTAACATGTAGTTTAAGTCCAGTGTGTTTGCTTGCTAATTTCTGTCTGGATGATCTTTCCATTTTTGAAAGTGGGGTACTGAACTTGCCTTCTATTATTGCATTGCTGTCTATTTTTCCTTTCAGATCTGTTAATATTTGCTTTCCATATTACGATGCTCCTATGTTGGGTGCATAAATATTTATAAATGTTATATTTTCTTGATGAATTTATCTCTTTATCATTATGTAATGACTTTCTTTGTCTCTTATTATAGTCTTTGACTTTACACCTGTTTTGTTTTAAATAAGCTACCCCAGCTTTCTTTTAGTTTCCATTTGCATGGGATATCTTTGTCCATCCCTTCACTTTCAGTATAGTCCCTGTGTGTGTGTAGTCATGTCTGACTCTCTTCGACCCCATGGACTGCAGCCCGCCAGGCTCCTCTGTCCGTGGGATTCTCCAGGCAAGAATACTGGAGTAGGCTGCCATTTCCTTCTTCAGTGGATTTTCCCCACTCAGGGACTGAGCCCAGTTCTCCTGCATCGCAGGAAGATTCTTTACTGTCTGAGCCATCAAGGAAGCCCCACTTTCAATATATGTGTCTTTAAAGCTGAAGTGAGCCTTGTATGCAGAACATGGTTGGGTCTTGTTTTTTTTTTTTTTTTTACTAAGCTCCTCTATGTATTTGATTTGCTGTCCAGCCAATAAGAAGTGAAATCAAGCAACTGTTCATTATGCTGCAGTGGGATTTGAGATAGAAAATACTTTTCACAAATACCCTACTTTAATTAAAGTTTAGTATTTCCCGCACAAAGGAAATAAATGATAATGCATTATTATGAACTTGTCTACTTAGATAAATAAAGCCACACAGTGGGAATTTTAAAAGGTTTTGTGGGAACCCATGAATTATTAGTCATCCCTTTTCCTTTATTTCTCTGGTAATGTTTGGAACATTCCCCCTCTCTTTAGTAGTTTCTGGAATTAGATAGGAAGATTCTATAGCCTCCAATGGACATGCTCATTATTTATTTATTCTGAATTATTTTTTTCTGTGGCCTTGTCATTTTTGCTTCATAGATTTGGAGGGAAGGTTAGACCAAGGTTTGGCACTGTTATAAAGAGCCAGAAGAGTGAGAATGTTAAGACTTTTTCATGTTGTGGTTTTCTAAGGCAGTGGAGCCGATCCTTTCTACTATAATTTGGGAGGCAGTGGATAAGAACTTTTTTTTTTTTTCTTTTTACTAGTGGATATATTCATTTAAATTTCATCCTTTAAAATACAAATATTTCGGTGAGGAGAAAAGCATGAATATTAACATTCCAGATGGGACTAGAAAGGAACTTTGCCATCATCTAGTATAAAGGTTCTTAAAATGCATATCCCCTTAGTTCCTTTCAAGATGCCATGTTGACATTGCAGTAAATGTGCAAAAGCTATGGTGAATGAAACTGCTGGCATCTTAAATTGAATAAGGGCAGTCTCACTCAATGACACTGGTAGTCATATATTCATCATTACATACTTGAACCGAAATGCGCACACATACACATGCATGTTAGCTTCACGAGTGCCCCTGAAGCAGTAAAATCTATTTTTATTGGATCTTGACCATGAGTTCATGTCTTTTTAATATTTTGTATAATAAAGTGAAAAGTACACATAAAAGCATGTTTGAGGTTACTGAAGAATGGTGGTCTCAGAGAAAAATACTTTTCTGATTGAGTTGAACTAGCCATTTTTTTCATGGGATGACTGAATTTTTCTTGAACAACCAAGAGACAATCTATGGTTATGCAGATTGTAGTGTTTGGCAGACATTTTCTCAAAAATAAATAAATAAAAGAATGAAACAAGCCTGCTTCTTTAAGGGGAACAACTGACAGTATTTATTAACAGTGATAAAATGTAAGCTTTCAAATGAAAATTAAAATTTTTGAAAACTTGTATTTGTCATCATAAGCTTGACAGCTTTCCAATATTTAAGGACTTCTTTGATGAGATTTGTAGCAATATTAACAAATATGTTTTGATATTATATAATAAAATATGTCAAAATATGGAAGATCTGAGTAACTCAATGGTCCTATATTTTGCAGATGGATGACCAGTATATGATGTTTCAAAATCACAGAGTAAAAAGATGCATTCGAAGTGCAATATAGAACACTGGGTTTTAATGTGACTGAGAATGAAAAGTTTATTGGTATGGTTTCAGAGTCCACACTGTAATTAACCTTTAAGAAAGTATGTTTGTTGAGTGTAGTGTGGTCCCAAAGAAGAATATTCACAATTATCACAACAGATTGAACACAGAATACAAGAATGCAGCTCTCTTCTGCTAAGCCAGAAACTCAAAGAGATTTGCCCAAAGGCAAAGAAAATGCCATTCTTCTTACTAAATCTGTTTTGCTTCAGAACATACAGTGATTGTCATACAAATATGTTATTTATATTACTTGTAGTGGCTTTATTTCTGTTATTTTATAATGAAAAAAATGGATTTAAATTTCTCAGTTTCAATTTCTAAAGTGGTAATTATCATTAGATATAAACCACATGAATACAGGGAGCTCTTCAGTTTTAAGAGTATGGTAGTATGGTGAAACCGAAAAGTTTAAGAACTGTTGTTCTAAACCAATCTTCTGACTTTACAAATGGGTAACAGAGGCCGTGAGGTGACTCATCCACTGAGTTGCAATTGTGACTAGGTCTTATCTCTGCTTCCCTGGTGGCTTAGATGGTAAAGAATCTGCCTGCAGTGCAGGAGACCCAGGTGTGATCCCAGGGTTGGGAAGATCCCCTGGAGAAGGGAATGGCAACCCATCCCAGTATTTTTGCCTGGAGAACCCCACGGACAGAGGAGCCTGGTGGGCTACAGTCCATGGGGTGGCAAAGAGTTGGACATGACTGAGTGACTGCACTTTCTTTCATTTTCTTATTTCTGTAAACCACTTTCAATATTTTCATCGTTTGTTTTTCCCCTACTACACACTACGACCATGACTGTCTTCGGGAGAAGGGAAGCCACTCTCCAATGAGAAAGCTGAGTGGAAGCATGTTCTGGGAGGTCAACTGGGGTAGGGCTTTCTTATCACCTGGGAACGAGAGGCCAGAGGGCCTCCTTCAGGCACTGGTGTCTCCATCTGCAGAGATGTGTGCTGAGAGGAGATGAGGCGGTGCTAGTGAAGGAAGAAACGCACTTGCTCCCAATTTTATTCCTCTTGTCCCAGAATACAATTGAGTTTTCCCTTGTCTCTCCCTCCAGGGAGTTTGCACGTTGGAAAGTGAACAACCTGGCTCTGGAAAGGAAGGACTTCTTTAGTTTGCCACTGCCTCTTGCCCCAGAGTTTATCCGGAACATACGCCTCCTGGGAAGGAGACCCAACCTGCAACAGGTCACCGAAAACCTGATCAAAAAGTATGGCACTCACTTCCTACTTTCTGCCACTCTCGGAGGTAAGCAGTATCTTGATCCTACCATCCTACACTTGCTGGTTGCCAGACCATTGGAAATAGCTTTCTAACACCTGTTGACTACAGCTTTGACACTTTTCCTAGATCTTTTATTCTTCCTGTCATTGTTTTGACTGGGAAATATTCTCATTCTGGTGCATTTGTCAACAATATAATCTCTTGACATCCAATTTCATTGCCAGAACATTGCTTTGCTTATACGCATCCTCCTGGGGAGGAGGTTGCGGGGTAAGAAGGTTGGGGAACAGACGTCTACTAAGCACTTGCCAGCAGGGGGCGCTCCCAGTTTTCTTTTGACTGACCCATCTAACCCTGAAGTTTCTCCATATCCGAATATTGGCTGTGGCTACAGTAGTCAGTATGTGTGCTCAGTCGTGTCCAACGCTTTGTGACTCCATGGACTGTAGCCTGCCAAGCTCCTCTGTCCATGGGATTCTCCAGGCAAGAATACTGGAATGAGTAGCCATTTCCTCCTCCAGGGGATCTTCCCAACCCAGGAACTGAACCCGCATCTCCTGCTGGCAGCCCAGGTGGCACTAGTGGTAAAGAACCAGCCTGCCAATGCAGGAGACAGAAGAGACCCAGGTTCGATCCCTGGGTCAGGAAGATCCGCTGGAGGAGGAAATAGCAACCCACTCCATTATTCTTGTCCAGGGACAGAGGAGCCTGGCTGGCTACTGTCCACAGGGTCACACAGAGTTGGACACAACTAAAGCGACGTAGCATACATGCACTCCTGCATTGCAGGCGGACTCTTTACCGTCTTAGCCACCAGGGAAGCCCAGACACATAGGCAAAAAAGGAAATGCTCGTTAAGTCCCTGATCTCTCTGCTTCCACTCTGTAGAGACTGGTAACCAGCCAAACAGATTCCAATGCTTCTGGGCTGGATGGAGGCAAAGGTGGGGTGGTACAACCTCTGGCTAGGACCCAGAGCAGAATTGAGAGCTGGAAAGAGGCAGAGTTCTCTCTGTCCTGGAAAGCAGAAAGGAGGATTTATTATAACAGTTAGCTCACTGTCTTATGGACTACAAAGGAAGACTCCAAGGGTTCAGGCCAGCTGCTGACATGTGGTAGGTGTTGAGCCTTTGAGGGGGAGAAGGGAGGTTGAGCTTCAAGGCTTTTGCCCTTTCTTAGGGAGCAGAAATATCCACGGTGATTCTTTATAAACAACTTGAGAGAGAGAATTTTATCTTCCCCATGGAGGTAGATTGCCTGAGACAGAGATCAATAGAGGATGTTAAATGGATAAGCTGGAGGGGCGGGGGATGAGCTCTGGGCGATTACGGAAGTGGGGAGGAGGAGGCTGGCCTCTCAGGCAGCGGTGCCCTCATCCTGTGGTGCAGTCTGACGAGAGCGTTGTGGTAGGGATGGGAAAAGGCTGTCAGCAGGGGCCACAGGTGCCCTCTTAGCTCAGTCTCTGCTGGAGGAGGGTTTCACGTTCTGATGGCTAGGGGCTCGGGGAGCTGAAGGCCTCACCAGGACGCCCATGTTGCCTGCTGTAGGAGAAGAGTCCCTGACCATTTTTGTGGACAAGCGGAAACTGAGCCGGAAGTCAGAGACGGCAGGAAGTGCCTCTGTGATCGGGGGCAGTGGGAACAGCTCCGCCGTGTCCCTGGAGACCCTGCACCAGCTGGCAGCCTCCTACTTCATCGACAGGGAGAGCACCTTGCGGCGGCTGCACCACATCCAGATAGCCACGGGGGCCATCAAGGTAAGGGCCTGAGAGGTCCTGGGGGAGGGAGGGCAGAGCGGCAGAGACACCGGGCGGAGGCCTGGGTCTTCCGCAGCTGCCCGCCAGCCAGGCCTGACTTACGGTAGTGGGAAGCAGCTTTCTGATGTGGGCACAGCCCTAAAGCCTGGGCAGGGGCTTCCTTCTGCAGCAAACAGCCACATGGCTTCTTCCCTAAGGCAGGCTCTGGAGCTGGAGCTCTGGAGCTTCCCTAAGGCAAGCTGGAGCTGAGGGAACCTCAGTGAAAGGCAACCAAGGCCACTGCTTTCCAGAGCTCACACTGTAGTGGGGGAATGAAGATAATGAACTTGTAAAAATCAGCAAAGTCATTCCAGGTTATGATACAAGGGGAAAACTGAGTCATAGGTATAGATTTCCTGAGGCAAGAGGGGCACAGCTAGTATTAGCCAGACTGGTCAAGGGGGAGCGCACTTGGGGTTTAGACTGAGGTCTGAATCCCTAGAAGCCAGCAGTGTGTAGATCTGAGGGAAGGGTGTTCAGGCGCGGGGAATGGTAAGTGCTAAGGCGCTGAGGCAGGAACCAGTGTGGTGCCGTGGTGAAACCCAGGACTGCTGTGACTGCAGAGAAGTGAGCAAGAAAGATGCTGGTACAAGATGACGTTCAGAGGTAGGCTGGAGCCGGATCACATGGCTGTGATAAGACTTTTAATATAAATCAAAGTGCAGTAGAAAACCAGCAGAGGAGTGATGTGATTTCATGTATGTTTGAAAACCTCAATACTTCCTATGATTTCAATAACTATAACATCCATCCCATGTTCCCTAGAAGACTTCTAGGGCAGTTCATGTTGTATAAGGGAAGAGAAGAGTAGTGATGATACTTGAGATCACTGGAGATTCTACTTCTAAATATAAAGTGAGGCTGTTGAGAATCAATCTTATATTCTGCTTTTATCCCACCCAAGACTCACAAGGAAGTTTTATTCATTCATTCATTTATTCAATAAGTATTTTAAAATTCTTTAAATTTTATATTAGAGTATAGCTGATTCACAATGTTCTGTTAGTTTTAGGTGTACAGCGAAGTGATTTAGTTATACACATTCATATATCTATTCTTTTTCAGATCCTTTCCCCATATAAGTTATTACAGAGTACTGAGCAGAGCTCCTTGGACTATACAGTTGGTCCTCTTTGGCTATCTGTCTTACATACAGCAATGTGCATATGCCAATCTCAACCTTATTGAACACCTATTATGTGTCAGGCACCCTTCTGGGTACACTGAGATTCCAAAAGTGAGTTATGACATATAAGGTCCCTCCCCTCATGAAGCTGAAATTCTAGTGGTGGAGACATAATTAAAGACATAGATAATGTCAGGTGGGATTATTGGTAGAAAGACACAAAGTCTGGGAAGAGTATAGAGGGGTGATGGAAACATGGTACTTTAGGGAAGACCAGACCGGAGATATGAGTGAGCGAGGGCGTGAGTCACAAGGGTATCTTGAGTGACTGCATTCAAGATGGAGCAGGGAGGGAGTGCACCTGCCCTGAAGTGGAGAGTGCTTGGTATGATCCAGGAGCACCAGTAGTGTAGCTGGAGTGGAGTCAGAGGAGTGATGAGGCACCAGTGGTTGCAGCGGCCAGATCATGAGGGCATTGCTGATGAGAGAAGGGGGTTCCTGGAGCCCAGTGTACCCATTACTGCACTGGCCAAGATGAACAACAGTGACTTGGATGAAGTTGGTGCAATAGTGCTGGTGTGAAGTTCCCAGGTTCAGGTTATACTTGATGGTAGAGCCTATCCAGGGTTAGCTAAGAAACTGGAAGAAAGGAGTCAAGATTAATCACACGATTTTTGGCCTGAGTAACATGATAAACAGTGGTTTCATTAACTGAGATAACACTGGGGCGAGGCGCCGACCTGAAAGAAATAAATCAAGAGTTCAGTTTTAGACATGTTGGATTTGACATTCTTATTAGATATCTAACAGGCAATTGGCTATACACACCAGGATTTCAAGAGAAAGGTCGATATTGGAGATGTAAGTTTGGCATGCAAATATATCCACAAGTGTAGTTGGTATTTAAAACTATAGTGAAAGATGAAGTGATATCACTTGAGGACTGAATGCTGCTGATAAACTAGACCTAGGGCTTTGGATCATGAAGCACATCAGTTTTCAGCAATGGGCCAAACGAGGAGGATTCAACAAAGGAAGCTGAGACAGAGCATAAAGGTTAGAAGAGAACCAAACTTGGATTACAAAGCCATATGAAGAAAGGGCTTTACAAAAGCAGGCAACTTGAGCAGTCAGATTGCAAATATGACCTTCAACTTGGCAATGTGGAGGTAACTAGTAACCTAGATAAGAGTAGTTTCAGTGGCATGAAAGGTATAAAAGGCTGAGTGGAGAAAGTTCAATAGAGTGGAGTGAGCATTAGAATCGTGGAGACAATCCTTGAAAGGTTTTGCTATAAAGGCAAATAGAAAAATAGGTGATAGCAGGAGAGTGATGTGGGATCAAAGGAGCTTGTGTTTTTGTTTTAAAAATGGGAGCTATTCCAAGATATTGGTATGTTAATTAAAATGACTCAGTAGAGAGGGGGGAAATCATGGTGCAGGAGAGACAGGAGATGATTGCAGAAGCAATTGAGGAGGTGAGAGAAGTGGTTATTCCAGGCATGAGTGGTGTGGCAGGTCTCACACAGGAGTACAGACACTTCATCCTTTGTAGCACAAGGCAGTACAGAGCATACAGCACACATGCAGTGAGATGACAGATGTGATGGTGGGAGGATATGGATATTCTCTTCTGATTTATTCCATTTCCTTGATGAAACAAGCGAAGTCCGTGGCTAAATGGAAGAAGGAATTGCTGAGAAAAGAATGTATGAAGTGGTTTTTCAGAGAGTTAAGGTTATCAATTGACTAGATAAATGCAGTCAATTGTTGAGGGGCACAGAAGGCCCATGGTCATAATTATTACATGAGGCCAGTCAGCAGAGTTGTGAGTTTTATCAGCTATATTCAGCCCTTCATGTTCAGACGACAAGCATGGGATAGATGGAGAGTTGAATTAAACCAAGATATGTGTGTGTGTGTATGTGTACAAGATGAAAAAAAAAAATAGGCAAGAGAGTTGAGAGTATATAGAAAAGAGTGATTACAGTGATGGATCAAGGGATTTGAAACCATTAGGGGATGATAGAAAGTGAAAAGTTGACCAGGTCAGAAGATTGGAAGTCTAAGTAGGTTTGATGACTTGTTACAGGGAAGAGACTAGAGGAGGTGCAAGTATGTGATGTTTAGTATTGCATTTACAGAGGGTCAGGTTCTGGGGCATGACCATAGGTGCGGGAGGCTAAGATGGGGTTCTCTGGAGGACAAGAGGCCGGGGGAGACTAGGGTATTAAAGGATCACCTATGTGGATGCTGAAGTCATCAGGAATGATTCAGATCTGCTTGTGGTAAGAAAGATGATGGTCGGCAAGCTAAATTCTGAAAATCCTTAGTGAGGGAGAGGGAGTAATGAGAAAAATAGACCGTGCCATGGAGGGGTAGTGAATGATAGTCCTGGTGGTTCTGATTTCAGAGGGGCCAGAGAAAGTTAGAGAGGAAGGAGGACCATTGGTCCTAGAGAAGACTGTGGGGGAAGACATGTCCTCAGAAGCTGCTAAGTTCTGCTTGGAACAAAAAGGTGAGGTGGACTCTTGAGAAGAGATTGAGGTTATAAATGTTCTTGCTGAGGACTGATCATGAGATTCTGAGGGCATGATGGAGCATAAGTGGAGAGGAGGGGTCAGGTTAGGGGATGTCCAGGGTCTGGAGTGAGAGTCTGAGAGAGGAGGAAGATGGATGTTCAGGCAGACTTAGGGTACATTTTGGAGGCTGGTATCTTAGCTTAAACTGATGACAGAAGGACTGTAGTAGCATAGAGTGGATTTTACTAAGAAGACCGAACTATGTAGAGGCCCCCTCTCTCTTTAGCCCTCTGGTGGGCTGTGTTAAAGTTGAAGAAGAATTGGTCTTATCCATTCATGAAAGGTAGGCCTGGATGAATAACTCCATGGTCCCATTAATGTCCCTTTCTAACCTTTGACCTGACCAACTTTTCTCTTTCTATCATTCCTCCAGGGCCTCATTGCCCATCTTAGATCACTAGATCCATCACTAGAATCACTCTCTTGCATGTAATATCTTCAGCTCACTCATTGCCTCCTCTCCATGCTCATGGCCATTCAGAACGTCATCAACTCTTACCTGATTTTCTTGCACAATTAGTCTCCCCATCCACATTCTCTGCTCTGTGCCCTGATTCATCATCTATGCTGCTTGCATGAGTACAAATCATATCATTCCACTGCTTGAAATCAGTGGCTCCTGACTATACATGGGGTACGGCTCAAAACCACCATCTCCCATCCAGGGAGGCAGTATCATGCATGGGAAAGAACCCAAGAGTCTGAGCTCAGCTGATGGCAAGGCTTTAAACAACTTAACCAAACTTCTCTGAGCCCCAGTTAGTTCCTTCTAAAATTGTTGAACACTTAGAATAATTTCTACTGTGAAGGATTTCTAGGAAGATCTAGTAAGAAAATATATAGAAAGCACGAGCAACTGGACCTTGAAAAGGAACAATTCTTCTGCTTCACAAGATGGGAAGGCAATTGAAGACCTGCTATGCCTGTTGTCTTCTTAGTTTTAGCTTCAAGCAGTCCTCTTACACTCTTCTCAACCCTTGCTCCCCGCCCCACCCCCCCCCCAGCCCTTCGTTAGCGTTTATATTCTCTGGGTCCCCCTCCCCACCGTGCTTGCTCTTTTCTGCTTGCGGTGGTTGTTGTCTGCCTGAGTGGCCCCTCCTACCGCTTCTTTGTTTGGCTGAAAAAGGTAACCCTTTTGTGAAGCCATTCCTGACTCCCAAGGTAGCTGGTATTTCAAGCGTGCCTACTTTATAGGGATTGTCACTTAAATTGAGTGCTGGTTAGCAAGAGGACCTCTGAGATTCTGAGGTCCTT